TTCTTGGAGCAGGGAATTACACCTGTTGCTGTTTTTCACTTCTTTTTCTTCTTCATTTGTCACTCTTTCTGGACCCACAGCAACATCTCCTTCACGAAGGTCACATGGCCACTCTGAGACTCGGTGTTCACTCAAGGCGACGGAGGGGTCATCTCCGCAGGCCCCCAGGCTCCGATTCTCCATCCCAGTCGTGTTTCTCGAGTTGCAGCAAATAAGGGCAGCAAGCAGGTCTCCCTCACTTTTCTATAAATTGTTTTTCTGTCAGATACTTCTCTAAATCTGAACATTCAGTTTAAGACAGATTAGGAAGAAGGATTGGCCATCCACTTCGGAAATAGCAGGCCTCTGAAAACCCTATGTACAACAGAACACATGTAGACTAACAGAGAGGGCAACTGAGGTAGAGCTTTCAAGTATGGAAATACAAAGGAAGAAGAACAGTTGTAAGCAGACACTAGTTATTGGAACATGGAATGTGAGAAGCATGAATGTAGGAAAATTAGATATTGTTAAGAAAGAAATCGAATGCATAAATATTGACATATTAGGCATTGGTGAGATGAGATGGACCAGCACGGGGCATTTTGAGTCAGATGATCATATGATATATGACTCCGGAGATGAAAAGGTGAGAAAAAATGGAGTTGCTTTCATAGTTAAAGTCATTTCTAGATCCATCTTGAAGTACAACATTGTGAGTGACAGGATAATATCCACATGCTTACAAGGAAGTCCAGTGAATACCACTATCATTCAGATATATGCACCAACAACCAGAGCCAAAGAAGAAGAAATAGATTATTTCTACCAACGTTTACAGCCAGAGATCCATCGAACATGCAGTCAAGATGCATTGATAGGCAAGTGCCGCGGGGGTAGTGAGGTCGTGCAGGCATGGGTGGCGTTGGTTTGAAGAAGATCTTCAGCGTTGCCCTGGCAGAGCGGAGCAGCGGCAGGCCTTCAGGTCAGAGATAGGTGTGACGCACAGACTTACTGTGACCTAGGAAAGGCTGCTAATGATGTCTTCAACAAAGGATATGGGTTTGGCATGGTCGAAATTGACTTGAAAACCAAATCTTGTAGTGGAGTGGAATTTTCTACTTCTGGTCATGCTTACACTGATACAGGGAAACCAACGACAACCTAGAGACCAAATATAAGGTCTGTAACAATGACCTCACCTTCACCCAAAAATGGAACACAGATAATACTCTTGGGACAGAAATCTCTTTGGAGAATAAGTTGGCTGAAGGATTGAACCTGACTCTTGATACCATATTTGTACCGAACACAGGGAAGAAGGGTGGGAAGTTGAAGGCTTCCTACAGACAGGATTGTTTCAGTCTTGGAAGTAATATTGATATCGATTTTTCTGGACCAACCATCTATGGCTGGGCTGTGTTGGTTTTGAAGGTTGGCTTGCTGGCTATCAGATGAGTTTTGACACAGCCAAATCCAAACTGTCACAGAATAATTTTGCCCTGGGTTATAAGGCAGCAGACTTCCAGCTGCATACCCATGTAAATGATGGCACTGAATTTGGAGGTCAATCTACCAGAAGGTTAATAAGAAGATTGAAACATCAATAAACCTTGCTTGGACAGCTGGCAGTAACAATACTCATTTTGGCATAGCCGCTAAATACAGGCTGGATTGTAGAACTTCTCTATCTGCTAAAGTAAATAATGCCAGCCTCATTGGACTTGGTTTTCTCAGACCCTTCAGCCAGGAGTCAAACTGACCCTGTCAGCTTTAATTGATGGAAAGAACTTCAGTGCTGAAGGTCACAAGGTTGGGCTGGGATTTGAACAGGAAGCTTAATATGATATTGAATAAGGTATCCGATTTGGTCTTGGAGGTGAAGAGAAATGAACCCACTATGTTTTGGCCTTAAAATTCTGTGAAATTTCAAACATGTGAACTTTTTATTCTTTCAAAGAATTGTTCTTTTCCCTACATTGAAGTCTAGAGATTGCAAGTCCATCCTAAGGGAGGTACTTGAAGGCATGCATGGAAGTTGTCATATTGTGCCACATTTCAGATCAGCTTCTCAGTGTTATTTAAATGTGTTCATCAATGACAATGTAGTGTCTTGCTATAAAGGGAATGACCTGATCCTCCAGTTTGTACATCATGTCATCCATGTCCTATACCACTTTTTCATGACCATTTAATATATTGATTGGTCTTTGTGATGTAGTGGAATTTCTGGTTTTTGCATCAGAGGAAAATAAATCCATCACATTTGGAACATAAAAAAAGATGCATTGATAACTCAAAATAATAATAATAATAATGCAAAAATTGGGAAAAGAGAAGAAGAATCAGTAGCTTGAAAACATGGACTTGGTGACAGATATGAAGCTGGAAATAGAATGATAGAATTTTGCACAACTAATGACTTATTCATTGCAAATACATTTTACAAGAAACATAAACACAGGTTATACAGATGGATTTCATCGATGGCATGCATAGGAATCAGATTGATTGCATCTGTGGAAAGAACAGCTGGAGAAGCTCTATATCAGCTCTGAAAACTAGGCCAGGAGCTGATTGTGGAACAGACCACCAACTACTCATATGTAAGTTCAAGCTGAAGCTGAGGAAAATTAAACTGAATCTACAAGAACCAAAATATGACTGTGAGTTCATCCCACCTGAATTTCACAACCATCTCAGGACAGATTTGAGGCCATGAAGACAAATGAGTGAAGACAAAATGAGTTGTGGGAGGATATCAAAGGTATCACCCAGGAAGAGTGAAAATGGTCATTACAAAGAAGAGAAAAAAAAGACCAAAATGGATGTCAGAAGAAACTCTGATTATTGCACTGGAGCACAGAGAAGCCGAAGCAGAAGGAAGAATTCAAGATTCTAAAGAGCTGAATAGAAGTTTCTAAAAGGCAGCACGGATGACAAAATATTACAGTGAAATGTGCAAGGAGCTGGGGTATGAAGATCAAAAGCACGGAACTCGTTCAGCATTTCTTAAGCTCAAGGAACCGAATAACAAATTCAAACCTCGAGTTGCTATAATCAAGGATGCTTTAGGCAGAATATTAAATGATCCAGGAAGTATTAAAAGAAGATG